CTATGGGCCTCGTTCCACTAATCACCCAAATGATCAAAATGAGAATGAATCTTCCGCTAGAACATGGGAAAATACACCGCCATGTTTTGTCTTTTGTGCATGCGGTGAGCAGTGGAGCGAGAGCGTCATCTTCAACGAACAATATACACAAACGGGAATTCTAGCTGCCCACCATTATTTTAATATTTTTCCCTTTTTCTTTCTTTTTTTTTAAACACGCAAGGCCCCATCTATTCTGGGGGGGCATCAGTCCGGTTGCTTACCAGGGCCAAGCATAGTTCCAAGTGAGATAGTTGCAGGGATAGAAATCAGCCAAGCCCTTGTGGTACTAGTTGCCTGTCAAGGGGGGACTGCTACAGGCCATCCCACCCCCAAAAACCATAGTCTCCCCTGGGGTGCATCTGCTGGCTGGGAAGCGTACTAGCAGCACCCAGCAACGCAGCAGAAGGGTCCAGGGGTGGCGGGGGGGCGGGGGGGGAAGGGGGGAGAGGGGGAGGGGGGGGATTGCCTGGCAGCCTTGCTGGCCACTCGTCTACTACTCTAAATCAAAGACCTCTCGGGAAAAGCCAAACAGACTTGTTCCTATAACACCGGTCTCTAACTACAACCGTGCTCCCTCTATGAAGCTATATCCTCCCCACCAGTCTCACTACCCCTTCTGTCCCCTGGAATCCTCCTATCGTAAGTAAGGTAGTTCAAGAATCCCCCCCGCNTCTATGAAGCTATATCCTCCCCACCAGTCTCACTACCCCTTCTGTCCCCTGGAATCCTCCTATCGTAAGTAAGGTAGTTCAAGAATCCCCCCCGCCCCACCCCCCAACCTTTCTACGTCCTAATTGCTTCAAAACTGCAATCAGTTTCAATCGGTCGGGGCTGTACACTATTCCTCGTCATCCTCGGTCTCCGGCTGAGGAACATATCGTGCCAAGATGGGGTCAAACTGCAGTTGGCCTGTGTGGGGATTCCTACCGTCTTCCCCCGACCACAACGCACCCTCATTTTGGCTGCACCGGACCGGAAATATAGCTTGTATACATTCATTTTCAGGGTGCGCTATGTTCGGGGGAAGACGGTAGGTACGAGCTCCGGATACAGTCTCCATCTTTCCCAGAACCC